ATGATACCGTAGAATTATGACATGATATGAAGTAATGATGACAGCAACTGTAGAACTTGATTTCTGAAAACTTTTAAGAATGTTGCTTATGATAAGAACTGTTGTTGTTACAAATAGGGAAGTCATTTAGGAAGCAATTAGACTGATGTACCTTAAACTATAAGAATTATTTCTTTTGTGACTTAAATTAATACAATCATTGTACAAACTAAGTAAGTTTGTGTTTGATTTATATTGATAAGGGTTGTTTTAAAATACTTTCATACTGGTAAAAATGATCATTGAAATTCTTTCAGATTTAACTGAATGATAAGTGACTGTTTTATATTGTGGCTGTGAGAAGACTGTTCCAAAGAAGGGAGAAAAACAGCTATACAAAGCTGTATTACTTGAAAGGATTTTTTTAGAGGTCTGCTTAACATATAGGTTGTGTATACGTCAAAGATGAATTTCAGTAGTGTTAACACTGGAAACCCGGAAGCACTGAACATCCACTTTGACCTAGTGATATGCTTGAAACTACTACGAATTCACCTTACTCGGTAAACGAGAGGGAAGACAAATGATCCAGAGACAGGATAGGCTATTCTGATCCGACTGTCCCCGGCACTACTAACTAGATCAAGAAGTCTTGATAAGGCGTAGAGAATCTGTTCTACGAGCACCCAGAAAATACGGGGTGTCTATGCACACAGATCGAGCTATTTACACATGATAGAAACGTCCTCGGTAGAACCACAAAAATAGCGCACTAAAATAACACATCAACCAATGACAGTCAAGAATTATCCGAATGGGAGATGTAATCTCACGGTCACCTGACCAATCGATGCGTAAAAATCCAAAATCCAAAATTAGGACCTTTATCAAGTAAGTTCTGGGGATCTAACGTCCCCAACACATAGTCGCGAACTTTTTATAACTTAGCATCCACAACTTCAACAGGTATCAAAATCAGGACCTTCAGATCTCATCACGAGACCTGAATCATTTACTTTACTGAATTTCTGCCTAACAGCCAAATTCCAACTTCAATCAAACCTCATTACTTCTTTATTCTTATGTTATTTAAACAACGTTTATTTAACGATATTTTTATCGAATTCAAATTGTAAGCTGTTATATATATAGTTTCTTAACTGCTACTAAACATTTTATTGTTCAGAATAACAAAAACTTATTACTCAGCATTTATACAAAAATGTTTCATTTACATACTTATCTGTTGAGATTTATAAATTGCAATATGCTGATTTATATTGTTTTGTGAATTACAATTCTTAAAATAGGATTTTAATTATGTTTACTGGTTAAGTTTACTAATTATCTGATTAAAGGTTTTGATAACAAGATAATTTGTGGGATGTCAAAATTATATCACAAATATAATAGCGAACTTTGTATATATATATATTCTTAAAGGTCTTACTTAGATCGTAATCAAACTTAATTATATGGTGGTTTCTGTTGGGGACGTTAGATCTCCAGAACTCATTTGATAAAGGTCCTAATTTTGAATTTTATGTTTAAGCTCATTGGCTGATCAGTTAACCTTGAGATTACATTTCCCACTAAGAAAATGCATGACAATCATTGGTTGATGTATTATTATAGTACGCTCTTACTGTGGTTCTCCTAAGGACGTTTCTATCATGCATAAGTAAGGTCACTTTGTGTGCTTGTTTGCCTCAAATTTTCTGGGTGCTTGTAGAAAACACTTTCTATCAAGACTTCTTGCTATAATTAGTAGGGCTGGGTACAATCGAATCAGAATAGCTTATCGTGTCACTGTATCATTGCTTCGATCTCGCTTACCGAGTAAGATGAACTCGTAACAGTTTCAAGCATATCGATTGACAAGCGTATCAGTTTCCCATTGTAAATCTCTTTTTCTACAGTCTACGTACTTTTGTCAATCGAACATGCTTGGAATTAGTTTTCTTACAGGAGTGCATTTTACTTCTTAGTCATTCTCATGTTCTTATATTTATTTTTTATGATTTCATTAATAGTACTAGTATTTCAAAAGATCGATAATCTTCTATTTACTAAACATTTGGATGAATTCGATTAACTATTTCAATGAGTCTTATGACCTTCAACTTTTCTGTATCCACTAAGTCGAATTAACCGATCATGGAGTCCACTGAGTAGGAGTTCATTCGGATTTACTTTAACCGGTAACTTTCATTTTTGTCAAAAAAACACAAATGATGGTCAACAATTATCGGATACTGATACATTCAACTTTTTCTTTTCTCAATAGGGAATCAGAATATGAAGATAGCTAGCCAATTTGTTCTCTAGAATGACGACTGAAAAATGCAAATGATAATTCAGATTTCAAAAATATAACGAAATCAGAATTTGTATATAGTGTTTTTAGCGTTTTTTTTAGCGAGTTGATTTTCTACGGGATGAAGTCACTAACCCGATACCTAACCTTCCTCCTTTGTACAGGCTTGACACTAGCAGTAACCCCAGAATGGCTACAGGTGGAGTTAGAATTTGTACATGACTTAGCCATATGTGATACTGGGGACGTCAGATCCCCAGAACTCGCTTGATAAAGGCCCTAATTTTGGATTTCACGTTAGCGAGCATGGGCTGATCAGTTAACCTTGAGATTTCATTTCCCACCAGGAAAATCCTTGTCTGTGATTGGCTACTGTGTATTTTGGTGTGCTATTTTTGTGACTGTCCCAAGGATGTTTCTAGGATGAATAAATAAACGAGAGTTGTGTGCTTGATTGCATTGTGCTTGCTGGATATTTGTACAATATACTTTCTACGCTTATCAAGACTTCTGTTTTGCCGTTTTCGGATCTAGGTAGCCTACCTAGACGCTGACTCATTGTCTCGTTTGCCTTTATCGACTAAGGTGAAGCCGTAATAGCTTCAAGCGTACCTAGTGACGAATCTAACAGATACAGGACTGAGTCATTTTTACACAGTTAATAAAGAATAATGTAACAAAGGTAAAACATCAATACCATAGGTAATTGCTTAAGTGAAAGCTGTTAATTAAAACAATGGAAAAACTTTACAAACCAAAAATTTAATAATCACATTATAGAATAGCTTATGGATTACTGTCTTTTTCACATATTTTTTTTCGTATTGAACGATTAGAACTTTGAAATAATATTGATCAATAAGT